TGATAACTACTTCCGAGTCCCGGATATGAAATCTCTTTTTAGTTCCGTGGACTCGAAGGCATTATTTAACTATTTGAAAGACATCGGTCTATTTTATAGACTCTGATGTCTTTTAACCCACCTGATCATTTTTGACGTTATATATATATCACATATTCACTATCATCTATTCGTTATCTGTTTTATTATTTTAACCCCCTTTTTATTTTTATTATCTACACATACAATGCGAATGCTTTTAAAATGAACCATTTTATCTGATTTTATCTTCGCTACTTAAATTTTTGTTATTTTTTTATTTTTTTAATAAATCACCATGGCCCTAAATGACCACAGTCGTCGATGGGCCGTTAAACATAAACAAACAAGCAAACAAACAAACAACAGTTCCAGGGAAAGTTTTAAATAGAGTTATGTTAAATCGACTCAAAAATGCAATAGACAAAAAGCTTCGTGACAACCAAGCTGGATTTAGACAAAACAGATCATGTGCAGACCAAATAGCAACTTTGCGCATCATCCTCGAACAATCACAGGCTCTATTCTGTTTTTGTCGACTTTGACAGCTTAGATAGAGCTGTGTTGTGGCAGCTAATGAGACACTATGGCATTCCTGAAAAAAATATTACCATCATCAGAAACACCTACACAGGAATGCAGAGCAAGATCATCCATGATGGTCAACTAACAGTGGCCTTCGATTTAACAACTGGGGTAAGGCAAGGCCGTCTCCTTCCTCCTATGCTATTTCTCTTGGTGGTTGACTGGAGAATGAAGCAAGCCACAGACGGCAGAAGAAACGGTATCGAATGGACCATGTTCATCCAGTTGGATGACCTAGACTTTGTTGATGGCATTGCCTTGCTGTCCCACAACCACCAACAAATGCAGGGCAAACTAGCACAGGTTGAAAGGAGAGCTGCAGAAACAGGCCTATCTATCAACTATAAAAAGACAAAAGTTTTAAAGTCAAACACAAGGACCCTAGCAAGTCGGATGGTTAACACCCAAGCTTTAGAAGAAGTGGATTCCATTACATACCTTGGAAGCGTAGTGGACAATCTTGGTGGCTCAGATAGAGATGTAAAAACCAGAATTGGCAAAGCTAGAATTGCATTTAATATAATGGGAACAATTCGGAAAGCAAGAAACATCACTCTAAAGACCAAATTACGCTTGTAAAAACCATACTCTTATATGGAGTTGAGACTTGGAAAACAACAAAAAACCTGCTTCAAAAACTTCAAGTGTTCATCAACAACTGTCTCAGTCGCATCCTTAACATCAGATGGCCTGAGAAGATATCAAACAAAGTTCTGTGTGAAAAGACCAACCAATGCCCAGTTGATGAAGAATTGAAAAAGAGAAAGTGGAAATGGATAGGGCACACACTGAGGAAGCCAAATAACAGCATTACAAAGCAAGCCTTACAGTGGAACCCACGATGAAAGCGTGGCAGGGGCAGACCAAGATACACCTGGAGAAGAGACGTTGCAGCCGGGATGGAGAAAGAATGGTACAAGTGAGATGATCTGGAGAGGCTAGCAAAAAACAAAACAAGGTAGAGGAATATCGTACATTTAAGTGGCCTATGCTCCACCAAGGGTCAAAAGGATTAATCAAACTGGCAGAAACTGTTTTTAACTTTATTTTGCATCCTTACCTGTCAAACCTCGTTGACTGTGACAAAAATTGAAATTCAACCCGGTGTTCATGATGGAACAGACATTGAGACTATATATCGCTATAACGACATCCGATCTTCCGACAGGAAAATTTAAAATTATTCTTCAAAAACAGGACGTACTGCCATTCTTCATAGAACGGACTTAAATAAAAATTGAACGAACTTGCCCCGGTCTCCCCTAATCGTTATGTCGGTCTTAAGTATCATTAAAACTTGTGTTTTATTGTCATTCCTCGGCTTGCCGACTTTAAATAAAACTGATCTTATCTCATTCTGAAATCAGTATTTTCTCATTCTGGTCTAATCAATAAATATCAGAGATCAATAAAAGCAACGCTCTTATAATGCTTTGGCTTTTTAGATTAACATGACATGGCAATAGTACGTCTTTACCCTTATAAAATACTCATTAATCAACAGATCCCTACCACACGATTTAAAATTACTCTATTAATTGATAGTTTTAAGAAGTTCACGATCAAATATTTTCTCGCCACCAAATTTTTAAAAATTGAAATAGTCCCGTTCCTCTGTGCGTTAAGACTCTCTTTATCTGTCTTTGGCAATACCTACTGTAAACAGCCTAATGGGTACTTCTCCTCGGATAATTCATCATGTTATTCTATTGAGATGTACAAATCACAATTCATGTGAAAAAATAATACAAGATTTTAAGACAATAACAAGTCTACTTTCACTGTTGTTCTCTGTTCAATATATATTTGTATCATAACTTAGTCCACCTTTTTAGCTCACCTGGCACGAAGTGCCAAGTGAGCTTATGCCGTGGCGCGTCATCCGTCGTCCGTCCGTCGTCCGTCCGTCCGTCCTCGTCCGTCAACTTTTCCTTTTAACAACTTCTTCTGAAGAACGGACAGGCCTAGAGTCATGATATTTGGCTGAAAGCTCTGTTGGTAGGAGCCCTACAAAGTTTGAGAAAGAAAATGACCTTGACCTGTTTTCAAGGTCACAGGGGTCAAATATGTCAAACTTCAAACGACTTCTTTTAAAGAACTAAATGGTATAGAATCTTCATATTTGGCTGATGGTTTCCTGGGATAGAGCCCAACAAAGTTTGAGAATGAAAATGACCTTGACCTACTTTCAAGGTCACAGGGGTCAAATGTGTCAAACACTTCAAACGACTTCTTCTGAAGAACTGAAAAGTATAGTATCTGTATATTTGGCTGGTGGCTTCCTGGTATAGAGACCAACAAAGTTTGAGAATGAAAATAAGTTTGACCTACTTTCAAGGTCACAGGATTCGAATATGTCAAACAGTTCAAACAGCTTCTTCTGAAGAATTAAAAGGCATAAAATTATAATATTTGGCTGGTGACTTCCCGGGATAGAGCTCACCAAAGTTTGCAAATGAAAATGACCTCAACCTACTTTAGAGGTCACAGAGGTCAACAACATTTTAATGGATTTGTTCTTGAGAACTAAAAGGAATGGATTCATAAGATTTGGCTGGTAGCGTTTTGGAATATAGCTAACCAATTTGAGAAGGAAAATGACATTCACCTACTTACAAGATCAAATATGTCAAGCAACTTCTGAAGAAGAATCAAAAAGCATAGAATCTTATAATAATATTTTGCTGGTAGTGTCAACAGATTGAGCCAACACAGTTTGCGAGGGAAATATTTTTAGTGCAATATAATATTTAATGAGAATATTTTGCAATGACTGCTTAAATATTCAGGTGAGCGATACAGGCCCTCTTGGGCCTCTTGTTTATGAATCGGTTTCTCCCTTAATTGTTGTGTATCATCCTTGTTATTGTTTTGTATCGTCTTTGCTGTCAATTATTGTATCTTCTTATTTTTACTACTATGGATCCAGTAACCATCTACAACAAAGCTAAAAGAGGAGTCCAGAGAGTTGTTACCTTGCAGCACCATCTTAGCAACTACAACTCGTACATCCAGGACAATATTGTACCCCAAGGTTTACGATTCAAGTGCACGCCCAATGTTGGTCTTATGTCTAAATATGCTACTGCACGCTTTGACCACATCAAACTTGTCTGTCACATTAAACTTCTACATCTTCTTAAAGGCATTTGTAATAGTAAACTTTCTGTTGCGTCTAAGGAGCTGGCAGTTAATTTAAAACACCTGACTTCAGTTACACCCCACAATGATAGAAACATCTACCTTCAGAAGATTCAACATTTCGAAATCATCAAACGTACATCTCTTAGACATACACAAATGAAAACATTCCACCGCGATGGGCTTCACAATCTCCCGGAAACTGACATCAACTCCCGTCGCACAGTTCAAAAGACAAGATGGAGAAGGTTCTGACGTTAACACCAAACTGTCAAGACCACTACGGGTAATACAGTCGTCAAACTATCAAACCATCCCCTTACAGAACCAGAGCATGCTTTTCTTACTAAGGGTCTTAATTTTTGTCCGATCCCCAAAAGCCCTAACAATGCAGAGCTGATCGAAGACATGGACAGATTCTACAGGCTACTTCGGCTACGCGTGTACTTTGCTAAAGACCCTGACCCAGGTGATGTAGAGGATACTCCGTCAGAAGAGTCTCCCGTCGCACCCCTGATCAATCCATTCAAACATAAAAGTAAATGGAACCCTCCTCCCAGCAGAGTACCTGCTCTCGAAGCGTTCATCAGTGCATTGAAGGAGGAAGTAACCGTCCACTTAAACAACATGCAGACAACCAAGGACAACCTGTCACCTTTTGAACGCCAGGCACTCAAATCCCTGAAAAATAATTCGGACATTGTCATCAAGCCAGCGGACAAAGGCTGTGCAGTTGTTATAATGAACAGGGACGACTACATCCAAGAGGCTAATCGGCAACTCTCCAACGAGACATTTTATCGATGACGTTGAAATCAAATGGACATCGGGTCGGGACTCTCTTGACGAGTTTATTGAGTACGCTAACGCGTTCCACGCCACCATCAAATTCACAGCGGATATCTCAACGGAGAGCAACACATTTTTGGACACCAGTTGCATTCTGATTGATGGTAAGATTAGTACGGACCTCCACTGTAAACCTACTGACCCCCACCAGTATCTCCTCCCATCCAGTTGTCACCCCTCGCACACCACGATAAGCATACCCTACTCCCAAGCTCTGCGCATCAGGCGTATTATTTCGGATGACATCATCTTTTAAAGCAGATGTTCAGAGTTAAAGTCCCATCTTCTTGGCAGAGGATACAAATCTACTTTGATAGATCGGGAAATAGACAAAGTGAGGGTACTGGACAGGGCAAGTCTGCTTGTATACAAAGTCAGACCCCATACACAAAGGGTACCTTGTGTAGTCATGTTCCACCAGACATGCCGCCACTTCCACCTATCTTGAAAAAGCACTGGCGCATCATCGAATCTTCACCGAAACTTAGGCAGATCTTTCCAGAGTCTCCTATACTGGCATATCGTAGACCTAAACACATTAGAGATCTTGTGGTAAGCAGCAAGCTACCTACACCTAACCCTGCTGCGGCGAAAGGCTCTTTCAATACATGTAACAAGAAAGTGTGCAAACTGTGTCCATACACGCGCTCCACAGATACATTTCAATGTACAATCAACGGCAAAGTGTATCACATACTACAAACGCTGACATGTACATCAGTCAATGTGGTGTACCTTATTACCTGCAATAAATGCAAGTTACAGTACGTGGGCGAGACCTGCACCTGGCTCAATGTCAGGATCAACAACCACCGCTGCTCCATCAAGCAGAACAAACCAGACTTCCCTGTGGCAAGGCATTTTAATATGCCTAGCCATAGTTGGAAAGACATGCAGGTTGTTGCCATAGATCATTGCCCTACATGGGATGAAACGAGACGACGTACGAGAGAACGGTTTTGGATCACCAATCTACAAACCCGCTACCCTCGAGGTATGAACGAACGATAGGCGGTTGCTATCCGCTCGTTTTCCTTCCAGGGGGCATTTGACCTAATGATTCATTACTGCACAGTTGGTCTGCTATCTCGCCTGTCTGCTGCTTCATGTCAGTGTGTGTGACCAACAGCCGTTGTCAGATTTATTTTACAGATTTATACAGTATCTTAGCCATTTTATCTACTTATTCCTCCTTCACTCACTTATTTGATAATTACATGCATGATTCCTGCAAACCAATAGAGGCACATGTATTATTCCTGCAAACCAAAAGAGGCGACTAAGTGGGACCCCCTGCTGTGACTTAGATCCATCGCAGTATTGAGAGGCGACTAATGAGACATTCCGTAGCAGATTGGAGATTTTTCACATTTACCGGGCCAGATTTACAAATGCACATGTTCCACGTTTTTGATTTCTCTCGTTGACTCACTTAATATGACAGTGCATCTTACGCAAGAATAGGTCCTCTACATCAGCGTTCCTTTGCCGCGATGCTCGCAGCGTAATTGCTTCCTTCGGCTGTCTTTAGCCGAGGAGACTATTGGTTTTATATAATAGCTATATTTTCAATTATAGTATATCAATTCTATCTTCTTGTAATATGATGTATATGAACATGTAACTGTTCTGTTTCACTGTGTCTTGATAAAGGAGCGGATCGCTCCGAAAAATTGATAACCTAAACTTGTCCACACTGTTGGAATTACTTCTTTGCCCCATATATATACAAAATTAGATATAGCGCCCTATCTAGCTAACATAAGCCACTCTAAAGCGCTTTACAGTACATAGATATACAATTGTATACAGTCAATACAATTAGCATATATATTAATTAATACAATATTGAGGAATTCACAGGAGCTGCCTTATCCGGCGCTAACTACTAGTCCTATGCCACCTGGCTAATATCTCCATATGTGTGTATGCCTGTGTGTGTGCTGGAGATGTCTTATTTCATGTCAATACATTAAATATCTTCGAAATGATGTTTAAAGCGGTCGGTATCGTCACCTCCTGAGAACTATATGTTCTCACTTGAAATGAATAAATCGGACTGACCGATAATACCCAGCATTTTCTACATCAGTGTTTGAACATGAAAAGCATGTGCATTACAAAGTCAGTCATGTAACCTGTACCTGTTCAATAGGTTAACAATGCATGGATGACCATAGTTCAAGCTTTATACAAACAAACGCCTGGTCACTGTTAACTTCATTACCTGTGCATTGTTCAGACGCTGTCCTTTCCTAACACAGAGAGGTGTCCCTTATCAATTCAAGTGGACACTGTGTTTTAAGTAGGAGAAAAGCCTCAAACTGTCCATTTTGTGAGAGAATGACCAGATCTCGGCATTTTCCTTTACATAACAAGTAAGATTTCGGGTGGCGCAATGGATAGCGTATTCGCCCTTTAACAAGACGGTATATTTTCGATACCCCGACCAGACGAGAATATAGGATTCACTTGCACATGGGTTTTCTCCGGGAACCACATCATGATTCCCCCGTACTTCCACCAGGCCCATCTAGATTTATTAAGTTGTACTGTTGTCAATTAAAGTTTAAAGTGTAAATGTTTATCTTGATAAAATAATGAACATATTTCTGCGACACGGTTACAATTGACAACAAATTAAAGGAACAGGTACTGTTAAGGGTAGTGTTCCAAGGGGTTTTGCAACATTTTGTAGTGTAGAAGTTTCTTGAATTGATTTTAAAGTTGAGTTTGAACGAGCTCGTATTGATAAGGTCAGTGTTAGACAGGCCCGGTCAGAACAGAACCGGAGCAGACGACAAACTTGGATACTGGGCCTGGGACTGACAATTCTAAAAGAAACAGATTTATTTCTGTAAATGAAGTGTGGAATTTTATCCTCAACCAATCTAACAAAACGTTCTACGATCTGAAACTTTTGTATCAGTTTTTCAAGTTGCCTAAAGTCAATGAAAGTAGACAAATCCACAATTTCCCAGTAATTGAACTGTGTTTTGTTTGTTTGTTTGTTTGATTTTGTTTAACGTCCTATTAACAGCTAAGGTCATTTAAGACGGCCTACTCTGTGTGCAATATGCATGCGTGTAGTGTATGTATGTGTATTTTGGGAGGCTGCGATATGTTCGTGTTTGTCTCCTTGTGATAGCGCGGAACTGATGCCGACTTCATAGTGCTACCTCACTAAAACATACTGCCGAAGATACCCAGCAGGACTCCCACCCGGTCACATTATACTGACAACGGGTGAACCAGTCGTCCCACTCCTAATTTGCTGAGCGTTAAGCAGGAGTAGAAACTACCAATTTTAAAGACTTTGGTATGTCTCGGCCAGGGGACAGAACCCAAAGCCTTCCTCACATGGGCGAACGCTAAACATATGACCAAAAGTGAGGCATTGTCAAGGGAGACATTAGGAAGGAGAAAGTTATTTAGAAAGGAGAGAAGAGATAAGGTCCCAAATTTAGTCGCCTCTTACGATCATGCAATTGTGGGCAGCAGGTACAATTCTTACACCTGCCTTTACTGTGTAGATTCTTTATTGGTATCAGGAAAACGGATGGTTCTTAATATGAACCAACCAGTTTACGGGGGATGATGTCAAGTTTTGATTGGCAATTACGTCGCAACAACTACGGTCACACAATTGTTAGCAGTCCTATGTTTGCGCAAGTGCGCGAGGTTATGAAAAGTAAACAGTGTCAGTTGAAACGCGACGGAACAGGCAATTTATAGCACACAGAAGTGATCCAATAATGACACTGAAATCGACATGCTGTGGAATTCTGGCCAGCTAGGTTCGAACACACCTGACAGCTTACTACAAACTTTGTGGTTTTACAATACCGTTTAGAACATAGGGACATGTATTGGGGTGACGTAACGCTTGGAAAAGATGGGGATGTACACGAATTTCTGGAATTTACTGAACGCCAAACAAAAACAAGAACGGGAGAAAATCCTCGTGATATTAGAGCTGTTAAACCGAAACTGTGGGCAAATTTGGAAAACCCTGACATGTGCCCTGTGACTATTTATAAACTTTACCGTGAAAAACGCCCTACTGGCTACGGTGCCCTATCTGGTCCTTTTTACTCAGCAACCAAACAAATTCATCGCCTAATAACCCAATATGGTTCAAGAAACAGCCATTAGGAGTCAATAAATTGTGCACAATATTGCAAAGAATGATCAAGTTGTCGGGAATCCAAACTAAAAAACATCTGTCAAATCACAGTGCTCGGAAATATTTTGTTCAAAAACTCAGTGACAGTAATGTTCCCCCACCCAAATTATGCAGATTTCAGGACACAAGAACATTTCATCAATAAACAAGTATAGCCATATCAACACAGACCAACACGAGCAGAGTTCACGAAGGCCTATTTCTACGTGTTTCACAAAATCGTCAAGTTCTTCATCTTCGATAAGTGGTGGTTTTGAATCAATTTCCAGTGGTCCGATTAGTGGAGGGAACATTAAAATTAATATTTACTAAGGTGGTCAATCAGAACCACCACGACAGCGTATCCGAAAAGCTATCATTGAAGGTGACAGCGACTCTCAGTAGGCCTGCTGTGACTGCTTGAAACGACATATGAGGCGTGACGTCACAAAATTGTGAACTTTATAAAGTTAACTTTTTCTGATAAATTTGTATGTCTTGGCTATTAAATAAATTGGAAAAGTTTATTTTGTCATAGTTATATTCATTGCATTTAAAACTGTTCATAATTTAAATAAACAAATCTGGAACTACTTTTCATTCCGCAGAACGGCAATACTATGATTGGAGTACGTTTAAATTTGTTTTGACCTATATAGAGTCAGCTGATACAAAAAATTGTTGTGTTTGATTTTTTCGATTGTTATGTGATAAATAGAATCTTACACTCGTCCCCATGTCGTACAATAAATTCTATATGACATGGACACTCATGTAAGATCCTCTATATTTCGTTCGTTCGACTTATTATCTCGTTCGTACAACTTTTTATCTTGATAGTTTGACTTTTAATCTTGTTCCTACAACTTTTGATATCATTCGTAAAAGTAACTATCTTAGTAACGACTTTTAATCTCGTTCATAGTTCGTACATCATTGATCTCGTCCATACAACTAATGTTGTTCTGTCCCCGTCAGGTAATCGGGGTGAAATGAGGTACGTGCGCATAGACACAATGGAATGTTAAAAAAAGACGTTCTTAAAGACAATAAAATAATGGTCGGCCTTGCCAACATATAAACAGTGAGCTGAGGTTCCTGTTGTGGCTGAAATAGCAAAACTCAGACTATAACAAAGATGACAAAATGGCGTTCCCGCCGAGGTGTGAAACAGCGACCAAACCTCTGGCTACATTATGTATAACGGATGTCGGAATCGACGAATGTAACATCGTTGGAATTCATGTCGTTATCCTTCTTAGAGAGCTATGAGGTGCTCGAATCGGAGACCGAAACAAAAGCAGGAGAGGAGGTCGACATATGTGAACAAATTGACTAACCCCTAGCGGTAACCAAATCAGCCGATACTATCAAAACAATCGACAGTAACATGCCTCCCAGAGCTGGACCAGGTGGGTCAACAAATCTATTGTATGCGTCATGCAAAACTTTAAAAGTATATCTTTTAACAACTACTGCATCAAATACTGAGGGGATAATACTGACTGGTTGGAAATTGAATTCACATCTTTGCAACAGAATAATTGATATATGGGGTATGCAAGACCTATAATTGTTTGCGTCTAGACTTAACGTACAGCTGCCAAATGATATTTATGGAAACCAGATCGATTTGCATGCGCTGATGATGCATCTTTCTTAAATGTGGGTTGGGCAATTGTATTTATTTCGTCGTTTTCGCTAATTGGCAACTCCCTTCAAAAGATAGAGCGCAACAATACTCCAGATATAACCTAATGCTGCCACATAGGCCAACTCAGTCATGTACCTAGGGACAATCAAATATTGATTCATCCATCGAAGGCGATCAAGGACCTTCAAAGAACCCGACATCTTGCCTTTCTAGAATTATTAACTGTCCCCAGAGGCTGCGGATATCCTCTTGTAATCATGACGGACCACCACTTAAAGACAATACTGTATATACATCCAAATTGATTGAAGGTAGAAGGGGTATCAATCCATTTTCACCACCTATGGGAGTGATTCTGAAATTCATGACTGATGCAAACCACAAAGGGGAATGGTACAGCAACCCCTGTGGGAGTTCTTCAGGAATTTATGACTGATACATACCACAAAGGGTCAGGGCACATCAACACTATAAAGTGTGCACGTTTATCATTCATAATGATCAATGGAGAGTCACGTGGTGATTGTAAAAAGATCTGTGAAAGGTGTATTCCAACATAGACCAGCATTACCAAAAAACCCAGCTAACTTGGGACACCCGGGTTGTGTTTGACTATTTGAAATCGATTAGAGACATCAACTTAACACATTGCTCTCAGCAAAGAGGACACTTGCTTTACACATAGTGGATAATCGTTTTGGCGATCCATTGAAACGGACAAGGCCTGGTTTCCACCAGGCAGAGATATTCTTGCAAGCTTGCTGTAAAACCAGAACTAAACGAAAAACACAAATAAACTTTTAAAAGTTATTAAGATTCCCATCGATCTGTGTCCAAATCAACGATAACAAGGTGCATAAAGTCTACTGGAGAGTTTGGGGATCGGTACTACAATGTAATACCTTCATCCCACACAACACTCGAGCTTCAGCGACATCAGCGGCATCCAGGAATCATGTGACTCTTCCCACAGTTTTAACAAAAGACTAACATCCATCTTGAACAGTGGAAACAATCTGATATATATATAATGCCTGCAGGCCATCTGTATTGTGTAGTGTTGATAGAATTCTTAAATTTAAGACCGTTCGCAAGACTTTTTGTCTTGTTCGTACGACTTTTTGTCTTGTTCGCAAAACTTTTTGTCTTGTTCGTACGACTTTTTGTCTTGTTCGCAAGACTTTTTGTCTTGTTCGTACTACTTTTTGTCTTTTTCGCAAGACTTTTTGTCTTGTTCGTACGACTTTTGTCTTGTTCGTACGACTTTTTATCTTGTTCGCAAGACTTTTTGTCTTGTTCATACGAATTTTTGTCTTGTTTGTACGACTTTTTCAAACGACTTTTTATCTTGTTCGTACGAATTTTTGTCATTTTCGTACGAATTTTTGTCTTGTTCGTACGAATTTTTGTCTTGTTCGTACGATTTTTTGTTTCGTTCGTACGACTTTTTGTCATGTTCGTACGACTTTTTGTCTTGTTCGTATGACTTTTTGTACGACTTTTTGTCATGTTCGTACGACTTTTTGTCATGTTCGTACGATTTTTTATCTTGTTCGTATGACTTTTTGTCATGTTCGTACGACTTTTTGTCTTGTTCGTACGTCTTTTTGTTTCGTTCGTACGACTTTTTATCTTGTTCGTACGACTTTTTGTCATGTTCGTACGACTTTTTGTCTTGTTCGTATGACTTTTTGTACGACTTTTTATCTTGTTCGTACGACTTTTTATCTTGTTCGTACGACTTTTTGTCATGTTCGTACGACTTTTTGTCTTGTTCGTATGACTTTTTGTACGACTTTTTGTCATGTTCGTACGACTTTTTATCTTGTTCGTACGACTTTTTGTCTTGTTCGTATGACTTTTTGTACGACTTTTTGTCATGTTCGTACGACTTTTTGTCTTGTTCGTATGACTTTTTGTACGACTTTTTGTCATGTTCGTACGACTTTTTATCTTGTTCGTACGACTTTTTGTCTTGTTCGTATGACTTTTTGTACGACTTTTTGTCATGTTCGTACGACTTTTTGTCTTGTTCGTACGACTTTTTGTCTTGTTCGTATGACTTTTTGTACGACTTTTTGTCATGTTCGTACGACTTTTTGTCTTGTTCGTACGACTTTTTGTCTTGTTTGTACGACTTTTTGTTTTGTTCGTACGACTTTTTTATCGACTTTTTGTTTTGTTCGTACGACTTTTTGTCTTGTTCGTACGACTTTTTATCTTGTTCAAACGACGTGTTATATTATTGGTCAATATGCTTAATATGATGTCAAATTAAAATGCTTTCAAAGGTAATTTTTCTTGTGACAATATAATTATTGCAATTCTTACTTTAATAGGAAACAGAATAACGTATTGCGAAGTCTCCAAACGCGTGATGATTCATAATCATGAAAACCTTGTGTTATAAGCGAGTTACCTCCCTTTGTACAATCAACATGGTTTTATAAAATGTTGCTGTTATACTACAAGCGTGTCAAGTATACTACTGACACTACTGTTATACTACAAGCGTGTCAAGTATACTACTGACACTACTGTTATACTACAAGCGTGTCAAGTA